AAGGAGATTTTTCTAGCTCTCGCATCTTTATTAAGTGCTTCTTCCTCTTAAACAAAGCAGCTGAGACAACAGCTCTCACTGCTGGGCTGCCAGCTACAAGTTCTGTCTGCTACCCACAGGCTCTTTCCTGGTTCAGAACATGCACTCCATTCTTACGGATCTTGGGCATAGTACCATGTCATTTGGAGCTGGAAGGGATCTTAGAGATCCTTGGGTCCAGACTTGGTGTTTGAAAGATGAGGTGACTAGACTGATTAGGTGCAGACCAGGGCTCTGGCCCAGGAACCACTCTGTTCCTGCCCTTTCATCCATTGCCCTTGGGTTTCCTTTGTTACCTAGGTCTTCTAGCTACTCATTTTGGCATATGACTATTTCATTTTCTAAAACTCATAATACATTCTAATCCATTAGACCTAAGTCTCTATCAAAAGCATGTGATTTTTTTTTAACTGGAACAGGAGTAATCCAGAGCCCCAGATTGTATCATTGGTCATTTTCTTCAAAACCACTTGTGACTCCAAGCTTATCATTTTGTAAAATAAAACAATGATAATAGAAGAAGACCAAAGGTTCTTGTGGTATTTTTGTCCCATTTGCAATGCCACTAAGCACTCTTTTTTCTCAGACGAGGCGTACACGTGGGTGCTGACTCCGGAGAGCCTGCGGTTTGGGGTCGGCACCTACTATGTGACAGCTGTGGTGAATAAAAGCAAGGCGGGTGCTCAGCGGACACCCACCCTGTTCTGGGTGGTTACTGCTGCCACCCAGTGTTACTTCTGGGACAGCCACAGCGACACGTGGAGGAGCAGCGGGTGCCAGGTCAGAAGCTGTGCCCCTTCCCCTCTCCTACCTCAGCTGCCTTTCAACCCAGTGCCTCCGTCCTCTGGTTCAGGGTGGCCCAGAAAGGAAAGTCATCAGAAGGGAACTCTGTCAGCCTGGGAGAGGGAGAGGGCGTGTGTGTGTGTGTGTGTGTGTGTGTGTGTTGTGTGTGTGTGTGTCATGGGCCTGGAGAGAGAGTCTCTTAGGAGCAGGTATGTGCTTTAAGTTTGTCATTTCTTTCCCAAACGTTAGTCCAGGGAGAATCTGACAATACTACATAAAATAAGAAAAACAGTGCATGGAAGCTGTTAAATTCCACAACTATTAAATATGTGGCAGGTAAATTGTGACAAACCTCCTGCTAAATAAAAGAGAACTTTTGTCCTTAAAAATAAGCTAGCAGCTTCATGTACATTCCAGGCTAGGTGGGGACAGACAGTCACTATTGTAATTACTGCCTGGTTCCAGGGGTCTGACCCCTTAAAAAGGGCGCTATTCATTTTTACATTAGTAATCCTGTGAGATCCTGCCTGATTTAAGTCCTGGTTAGTTTGCACAAAGAATGTACCATAAGAGTCTGGAAATCATGAGGCTGTTTTTAAAAGACTTGAGAAAGTGTCATCCAGATTGAGAACAGAAGGGAAGAGGGTGCCCTGGAAGGCTTCTGCATCATTCATGCAAACCCTCAAACTGAGAGCTTGTGAAAATGCAGATTCTGTTGCAGTAAATCCGGGCAGGGCCTGATTCTGTCTTCCTGACTGGCTTCCGGGTGAAGGCAGTGCTGCTCGGCAGGGAAACCCCACGGCGTAGCAAAGTGGCGAGGCGAGGCGGGGAGCTTTTCTCCTCTCTAGCAGTGACCCACTGATTGCAGAAGGCATCAGGACATTTCCTGCCTCCTTGAAGCCTTTGTCGTGCTTGGACTCCAGGAAGGGAAGAGAGCTCAGAGTTCAGGATGAGAATTCCTCCAAGGGCTGAATACTGACTGGGCAGCCAGAGCTTAACCTTGTGGAAAGAAATCAGTCATAATGACCATATTTTAGGCTTTTCATCTGCAAACTCAAACATGGAATTCGTACCTTCCATTCGTTTACTTAGTGACATTTTAAAAGATCTTTTTTAATGAAGAAATGTTATAACATATGGACAGTTATAGGGAATGATATAATATAAACATTAAATGCACCAGTCAGTTTTATTAAAAAGTTTGTGTTTTGCTCAATTTAGCTTGGATTTTTAAAAACAATAAAACACTGGGGAGTACTCACAGCCCTCCACGTACCCCTTGCCAATCTCATTTGCTCCCTCTCACCAAAGGGTAACCACTGTTGGGAATCTGGTATGTGTATTTGTTTTTTCAGCAAGTTATGTATTGAGCATCTTCTACATGCCAGGCCCACATCCAGGAACTAGTGATGGACAAGACAGTGTCCCCATGAGCCTACTCTTCAGTGAGGGAGACTGACAAGCATGGATACATGAGTGGCAATTTGCACACTTTTAGTCTCTGTGTAAATGGCACTGTTACATCCTTCTTTAAATTGCTTTGCTATCCAGGTCGCTCTGTCTAGCTCCAATGCATTCATTTTACCTGCTGCATAGTAGTCCATCAGTTTGCCTCTACTTATGTACTTGCTTGTTTGTGTGGTCTGTTGTTACTGGACATATAGGTTGTTCTGATTTTTCACAGTTACCAACAGTGCTGACAGAGACATCCTGTTTCACATTTCCTTGTGCACATGTGCAAAGTCCCCACAGGGTCTACATTCAGACTGGAATTGCAGGATTCAAGGAGTTTGTGCCTCCTCAGTTTTACTAGATGTTGCCAAATTGTTGTGCACATTGGTCGTCCCGGTTTACACTAGCAGCAGCTGAGGATACGTGATCGATTCTTCTTTTCCATCTGTAAATTGCCGTGTTTATGTTTTATGTGTCCCTTCCTTAGCACTCCTGTCAGTTAGAATCAGGGTCTTGACTCTCCTTCCAGGTCGGGCCACAGAGCACACTTTTGAGGACACAGTGTCTCTGTAACCACCTGACCTACTTTGGCAGCGAATTCTTCATTGTGCCTCGGACGGTGAACATCGAAGACACGGTTGAGCTGTTCCTTCGAGTGACCAGGAACCCAGTCGGGGTGTCACTGCTGGCCAGCCTTTTAGGATTCTATATGTTCACATTCGTGTGGGCTTGGAGAAAGGACCAAACAGACATGCAGAAGGTGATGACACTTTCATTCTAAAAGCTTTACCACTTTGTCTTGAGTATGTTGAACAAGATGAAAAAAAAAAAACTCCATCAAAAGAGGCAGGTAGCATGGTACTAGAAGTGTAAAAATTCAAGTGGAACTTCTCTTGTTTCTCTTCATATCTACTGTCTCAAGGCCCAATGTGCAGGAACTTAAGTCTTTATCTCCACTTTTTTCTTTTAGCTGAGGCAGAACCCTCATATGATTCATTTAGGTCTGGAATAACCCAAAAGAAAACACCTAGAGCACTAAACTATAATCAAATGCAAGTTTATCTCACTTTACACATTGGCTATGAACATTATTTGTAAGTGAAGTTATAATTTTAATGTGACTGCAATATATAAGAAATCTGGAAGGAATTTTTTTTTTGAAACAAAAATTCTTTGACAGCTTTTTTCTAGTTTCTTCTCTATATCTTTCTTATTCTTATGTTATACAAGTGGAAATTCTGGAATACACAAAATGTCCATTTCTTTATTGCTGTGCATGTAGAGTTACCAGTTTTAGGAAATAAAAATACAGAATACCAGTTAAATTTGAATTTCAAATAAACAGTGAATGCATTTTTAGTATAAGCATGCCCCCAAATTATTCATTATCTGAAATGCAAGTTTAACTGATTTTCCTGTATGTAATCTGGTAACCCTTCCAGTGGTTAGGAGTGGAAGTAGGTGGAAAGATTTAGAGGCCCAACACCGGACTAAATGATTCTGTGAATATTTCATTTTAAAGACATAAACCCTGGACTCTCAGTCCCCACTGCCTGCTTTCCACACTTACCTGTTTATCTTCTGCCCACACCTCACCCTTGCTCACCGCAGAGTCGCCAAAGCTGCCGCGGTGCGTCATCCTGTTTCTAGCTGGAGGGGGCAGGGGTCTGTACTGCTTGAAGACCTGCCAGTTTTCTCGGTTCTGACTTTTCCTGCAGGTGAAGGTCACTGTCCTGGCTGATAATGACCCCAGCTCTCAATTTCACTACCTCATTGAGGTCTCCACGGGCTATCGAAGAAGGGCTGCTACCACAGCTAAGGTAACTGAAATCAGTGTTCTTCACTCATTGCTTGGTGCCTTCTGGCACGCGAGATGCACTCTGACTTGGTGGTATCCCGGTGTCCTGTCGTCCCTTTACGAGGATCCCAGAGAGTGATCTTTCCTAGTTCTAAACTACATCTGAAGAGCCCTCACCGCTTGGTTAAGATCCCAAGACTTCATCTCAGTGCAGTTTTTTCTGTCTTCATCTGTCTCCTTGGGGATAAATGCAAAGAATCCTGTTATAACTTCCTGTATTTTATCTTTCCTTGCCACATTTCAGGTGGTTATCACCCTTTATGGATCAGAGGGACGGAGCAAGCCCCATCACCTCTGTGACTCCCAGAAGGCAGTCTTTGAACGAGGGGGACTGGATGTCTTCCTCCTGGGCACTCCGTCTTCTCTAGGGGAATTGCACAGCCTTCGGCTCTGGCATGACAATTCTGGCGTCAGCCCTTCTTGGTAAGTAACAGACTGGCCTGTTGTTTCTTCTCTGTGGATCTTTAGCATTCTGGGGAAAGACCTGCCTGCCAGTGCGATAAATAACCATAATGCTTTGGGCCAAATAATAACAAATGATTGTTAAATTTTAATTTCAAAGCTGTCTACAAAGAAGAAACCCTAGAAAGAAATATGGCAAATTAACAATATGATTTTTTATGGATGGCAGAATGATAGATGTTTTATTTTTTCCATTAAATATTGTCATGATTGTGAACAGCAAATAATGATGAAGAAATATTGCCCCAAAGTACAATAAATTAAAAATATCTCTAACTGAGAAAAAGATCTTTAAGGAGTAAATTTAATAAACCGCTGTATACTGAATATGCTTTGGGTCAAAAGGAAGAGCTTGAGGAGAGGGAAAAGGCTGGAATTATGGTGTGGGATTCGCCCTCGGAGTTAGGGAGGGAAATGGTCAGGGATGATTATGTGCACCTGATGTGTGCTCGGTTCATATGATTCCGCGTCTTCCTTCAGCAGCATCTGAGAACTAGGAGAAGTCGTTGGAGAAAGTAGATGATAAAAATTAAGGGTGACGATTATTGGTCTGTTGGGATTAGGAAAAGAGAAGGGAATGAAGTCAAATATCTTGGGCCTAGGTCCTCAAACGAATCAGCTGCTGTAAATAATGCCCACCTAAGAAGAGTTCGCAGGCTGCCTAAAATTGTTAGCAAGAGAAGCCCTTCCCTGCTAAGCTGGATACACCAACCATGAGGACAGGAGAGCCTGAGAATTTGCCCGCTGCTTCCATTGTGTTCAGGCATCTACCAGTTTGTATACTATCATTCCACTTTCAGTTACAAAGGTGAATAATAAGCACTAGAAAAGACACTCAGCATCATTAGTCATCAGGAAATGCGAGGTAAAACCACAGTGAGAGAGTACTGAACACCCACCAGGATGACTAAAGTTATAAAGTCTAAGGACTCTACTTCAATTTGAAAAAAAACGTCTAAGGGAAAAACCAAGACTGGGTGAGGATGGGGAACAGTCAGAGCTCTCACACACCGCTGGTGGGATGTGAAGTGGTGCAGCCACGCTGGAGAACAGTTTGGCAGTTTCTTGTAAAGTTAAACATACACTTGCTACATGACCCAGAACTTCCACTCTAGTTAAGGTAAATGAAAACATATGTCCATTCCAAGACTTATACACATGTGTTCATAGCAGCTTTATGAATCATAGCCTCAAATTGGAAGACAACGCAAATGTCCATCAGGTGAATGAATAAACACGTTAGTATGTTCATTCAGCGAAATACTATTTACAAGAAAAAAGAGCCACTTACCGATATGCACAGTAATGTGGATGAATCTCAGAAAACATTTTGCTGAGCAAATTAAGCCAGATACAAAAGAATGCATCCCATGTGTTTCCACATACATGAAATTCTAAAAAAGGCAAATTAGTCTGTAGACACAGAAGGCAGATCAGTGGTCACCTGGAGCCAAGAGTGAGCCTGAGGTGGGCTGACTGGAAGGGGGCACAGCGGAACTTTTTAGGGTAATACCTTGATGATCACGGTGCTTATTACACAAGTGCATACATTTGTTAAATGCATTGAAGTGTACGTTTTTAGTATATATTTTTTATTGAAGTATAGTCTGTACATTTTAAATGAGTGCCTTTTTAAAGCTGGCATAAGAAGTAAAAAATTTTTTTTAAATAAATGATGTCTTTTATCATATGTAAATTATACCAAAACAAAGTTGATTTTTTTTTTAAAAAAAAGTCTATATATAGGAAATGGTCTAGAGTTATATATATACTAAATTATTATAGTTATCTCTGGGTAGTAGGATTATGAATTTCTAAGTTTTCCTTCTGGGTACTTTTAAGTATGTCCAAAATTTTTAACAATAAATTTGTATTTTATAATTACTAGAAGAACATTTTAAAATTTAAATAGATAATTCTCTTAGAGGAGACAAATTCACACCTATGTAATATTTTCTACTTTTCTTACTAATTCTTATCATTGGTTTATATCAATCCTAATTTTGTAGGTAGTCTTTAGTTAAACTATTACTTTTTAAACTCATAATGACTTTATGCTCCTCATGGAGATGCTGTCTTATTCATATTTGTGTCCTCAACAGCTCATGCAGTGCCAAAATTATAGAGGACTCAGTAGATATTTGTTACAATAAGTAATTACAGTCAATATTGTAACAGTAAATTCCTGTTAATTAAATTCTTAGAGTTACCTATTCACCTCTAGAGCTTCATATCAGCTTAGTTTAAAGTTCTTGAAGATTTTCTGTAGTCACCATTTATTTTTCTTTTTTTAACTGCAAAATTAATAGATATTTTATTACACAAAACTTGAAAAACACAAAAAAGCAAAAGAACTAACCCGCCATGAAAAACAGCCTGCCAGCATTTTTTCTTAGTGAATGTCAATGCTTTCTATACCTTTCTGCTGATCATCGTGAATGCCTCAACTAGATTTTTCTAACACATGCAGTAGATTCTCTTCGGTTTCTCATGTATGAAAGAATAAGAGACTAAAAGTTACACTAGAAGCACACAAAGCCCATGACTAGTTTCTCACCAATCAGAAAATGAATATTTTCTCTTTTTTATGCTTAAGTGAAAGCTCTAACGGTAGCTAAGCTTAAATCAGGTGCAACTTAGTCACCTGTGATTTTATAAACTCCCTCAATAAGAGAGTCCCAGAAATAGTTTAGCTTTACAGGAATCTGTACTCCTCACCCAGAAAATAACTTTTTAAAAGATTAAACAAGGATTTTGACCAGAGAGATTTGAATGGTTTTACAACATTAAATACAGACTCTCGGGGAAGTAGCACATTTACAGTAAAGGAGGAGGTTAGCTGACTCCATGCAGGATGAAGTCAAACAAGCTGAACAAGTGGATGTTCCCAAGAACAAGTTTCTTGACAGTCGAAGTTAAGGGAGAAGGTAGGCACGTGATGAAACACTGTAGTTGGAAAGAGAATGAAATTTCAGGGACTATGGCTCTGAGGTCAAGACGAAGCCACAGGCAGGAGGGTAATAGCTCAGTGGTAGAGCACATGCCTAGTATGCACGAGGTCCTGTAATTAGGAAGTCCATTTTTTTAAAAAAGTGACATAATTAAAGCTCTGTAAAGTTTTAAAAAAGAAGAAGCAGCCACAGACCTAAATATAAGTCATTAATGTAAACATTAAAGACTACTCCCCCGGCACCCTCTGGATCCACCCCCTCGGACCCTGGTGATGAAAGACAGGCAGGTGGGATTCTTACAGAGGTGGCGGGGCACTGTCACCTGTGGAATAAGGAAACTTAAAGAATATAAACATGCACTGAACTAGTCTAGGCTCTAGAAGTCTGCATTCGGGGTTTGCTATATGAACTCCCTTAGATGTTGGGAAGAAAAAAGAGGGATCGGCTCGGGTTTCTTTCTTTAGTTCTTGCCCCACGATGAAACAATCCATTTACTTGGACACTCATGGTCAATGCAAGATGACTTCTTTATCTATTTTTATTGAGGTATAATTGACATACAACTTTACATTAGTTTCAGGTCTATAACATAGTGATTCAATATTTATATATATTGTGAAATGATCACCACCACAAGTCTACTTAACAACATCACCATACATAGTTAGATAACTTTTTTCTTGCGCTGATAACTTTTACTGACTTAGCAACTTTCAAATATGCAAGTATTACTAACGATAGTCACCATGTTGTACATTATATCCCCGTGACTTGTTTATTTTTCAACTGGAAGTTTGTACTTTTTGACTCCCTTCACCCAGCTCACCCCCACCAACCCCCCACCTCTGGCAACCACTAATCTATTCAATCTATGAGCTTTTTTTGGTTTGTTTTTTATTTGTGTTTTGTTTTGCTTTGTTTTTACGTTCTACATGTAAGTGAGATCATATGGTATTTGCTTTGTCTGACTTACTTCACTTAGCATATCCTCTATCCACATTGTCACAAATGGCAAGATTTTGTTCTTTTTTATGGCTGAATGATACTCCATTGTGCGTGTGTGTGTTATGTATATATAGATATATACCACATTTTCTTTATCCATTCATTCATCGATGGACATTTAGATTGCTTCCAAAAGATTACTTCTTATTACAGCAACTGATTCACGCCCACCTTCCTAACATGACTGTCTTTATTTTACTACAGGTATATAAACCAGGTAATTGTCAGTGACATCGCAGGTAAAAGGAAGTGGCATTTCCTGTGCAATTGTTGGCTGGCCATGGACCTTGGAGACTGTGAGCGTGACCGGGTCTTCTCACCCGTCTCAAAGAAGGAGCTCTTTTCCTTTAGGTACTGTCGAGGAGTGATGGTGTTCTACATGTTTCTGAGGCTCTGTTCATTTTCTTCATTCTTCTTTCTTTCTGTTCCTAGACTGGATAATTTCAACGGACCTATCTTCAAGTTTGCTGCTTCTTTCTTCTGCTATTGAACCTCTCTAGTGAATTTTTCATTTCAACTGCAGACTTCCTATTTATTTTTTAAAGGAATTTCTGTATCTTCATTGATATTCTCTATTTTGGCAAGATAGCATTCTCACTTACTTTCCTTTAGTTCTTTGACATGGCTTCCTTTAGTTCTTTGAATGTATTTAAAATAGCTGATTGCAAGTCTTTTTCTAGTAAATGCAGTGTGTTGGCTTCCTCAGCATCAATCTGACTGTGGGGAGGGGTGTGAGATACTTTGTTTCTTTCATGTCTTGTGATCTGCTGAAAACCCGACACTTTAAATAGAATGTGGCCAATCTGGAGATCAGATTTCCTTCCTTTCCCCCAGTATTTGTTGTCCTTTAGTAGCTGTTTTGAACTAATTCTGTAAAATCTGTATACTTTGTCATGTGTGAAAACTGAAGCTAATAACCAGATAGATTTAAGTGCCAGGAACTAGTAAGTGTCCCAGTCTCTGCTGAGGGGTTTTGTGTGCATGTTGAGCCGTGCCTTCAACACCCTGCGGTGGTTGACAACCCTGCTTTAGCCTTCACTTCCGGCAGGTCATCCAGGGGTGAAAGCACAGGGCCGCCTTAGGTATTTCCTGAGCACGCACCCAGCATTCACGTGGCCTTCTAGATGCCCAGAGCTCTGTCAGAACTTTTCAGAGCCCCTATTGACTTCTCATTTTTCAGCTTTTTCTTTTAAGCTTTTTGGTTAGCCTGTTGTTTGCCTACCGTATCATGCAGCTGTGAAGTTAGATAATTGCCTCTGAATAATTTTGGAAGTACCCTCGGGCAAAAAGAATTTTTCACTGGGTGAGCCCCTAATCAGGTCAAATAAGGACAGCTTTGCAAGTGGGGTTTTCCAGGGAACTACCAGATAGATCAGATAATGACAGTTCTCTGGGAAGGAGGCTTTGAGGAGCTCCAACCCTATTCTGCCCTGTCTAGTGACTGCCAGGCTGCTGGGTTTCACTATGATTAAAGGCTGTTGGTTTTCAAGGTTTCAACCATGGAGGTAGAGAAAAAGAGATGGGTCTAGGGCAAGTTAAAATGCCAAAAATTCACTGTTCTTACAGATACTTAGCCATTTTTCTTGAGTAAACACTCAAAAGTTACTACAAACCTTTGGTTATTTATCTGAGTTCTTAACATTTTGATTCTGGCTTTTTGAAAGAAGTTTTATCATTGCTTTTATGGAGGACAGAATTTTCAAAGGTCTTTACTCCACCATTTTCACTGACTCAAATGGATTTAGACAATTTACTACTCGTAGCAATAGTTGCAGCCAGAACAACATTTTGTGTCACTTCCCAGAAGCCCAGTTTCAACAGGGTGATGTGATGAGAGCCAGGTGTTAGCTGCACGTGCAGGGAGATGTATTACAAAAGAGAAACCCCAGGACTAGGAGAGACTGATCTGATATACCAGCTGCTAGAAAACCTACCTGTCCTCCCTTGTAGAGTGAGAAATTACCTCTATTAGCCTGAAATGTAAGCAAGTCTCTCAAGGGGTGAGAAGAAGGCATTTCTATATTACCCGAGAATGTCTCCATCCTTACAATCTGGAAATGTAAATAAAATGTCTCCAAAGAGAGGTACTGTCTCTGTCTTTTCAGGGCTGTCTGGTTATACAAAGATACCCGAAAAAATAGTGCAGGAGCAAAACGTTTATTAATGCCTAAACGTGAAGCAGTCACGGGGAATTGCCCTCCAACACTGCCTCTGATGTTACGTCAGTCTTCTGTCAGTCTAGCTGTTATTGTTCTAAAGTATATTGCCTTTTTTCTTTTTAATATTTTCTCTTTATCCTTGATGTTCTACATTTTACCATAATTCTTTTCACTGTGGATTTACTTTTTTATCCTGTTTGGTACTCAGAATGTACTTAAAATTTTTTTTTGTGGTAAAATACACATAACATAAAAGGTACTTTTGGTATGCAGAATCATGCCTTCACTTAGGAGAAGTTCTCAGATGTCATTTCTGAAAACATTGCTCCTCTGACATTCCTTTACTGTATGTTGGAGCCTCTCCAACCATCCTCCGTGTTTTAAGCCACTCTTGCCTATTTACCTTCTTTTTTCATCTCTGTGGTGTATTCTGGGTGAATTCTTTCATACTGCATTTCAGTTCACTAGTTTTCTCTTCAGCCATGCCCCTACCTCCTAATTCTTTTGTTTTGATGACCATATTTTTCAGTTTCAAGATGTCTAATTTATTTTCTGTGTTTTTCATGATTTTTTATTCTTTTTAAGTGAACATTATTCCCCTACTTGTATCTATGAGCAACCTGAAATACTTAGTCTTTGTCAGACTGTCCCACAAAATTAATTTCTTCTGGACTGAATTATTGATGGTGTTGGCTGCCTTTCTTAGTTTTAGGTTTCTTTACATGTTAAGGAATTGGGGGTTGTATGTTCATTTTGAGTGGTCTTATTGTTAAATCTCTCTCTCTCTCCCTCCCTCCCCACACCCCATCTCTCTGTCCCCACACTCATCTCTGACTAGTAGTTCTCTTGCCATTTTCACCCACCCCTTCACACCTCTAGTCTAGAACTAGGTCTTACTACATTATACTATTTTGGAGCTCCTGTTCCTGAATGAAATGACTGAAACCAGGTCTCTCACAGATCTTGTCATGAGGTGGATCTCTTGGCTCAATTCCTGGTCATGGGGCTGTTCATCTTCACCTGCCTCCCTACCTTTAAACGTATAGCCCTGCGGCGGTTTTTCGTTCTGCGGTACCCTTCCATGAGCTCCAGCCTCATCCCGGGCTTCAGGCAGCAAGGCTGGCTTTGCTCTCCCTTTCCCATCAGTTACCACGGGAATCAGACTTTGACTCGAGCATAACTTTCTTCGAGACCTGGGACCCAGAACCCTGTGACTTCTTCCCCACCTACCACCTTGTTTGTCATTCCATTTCTCTTCCTCAGAGATGTTTATTTTGTTAAGCCCCAGCCAGTGTTTGGGTTCCTGCTTTTTATACTGTATTTATAGTTCCTTTTGGAGTAGAGAAGGTGCTCAAAGTGCCAATTTAACGAACTATCGTGACTAGAAGCTTAATGCACTTTCAAAGACTGAAAGATTTATCAAAACTCTTATGAAGCTGAAGCAAGTTTTTAATTTTAGAATCCCATGCAATATAAATTAAATATAAGTTACATCAATTATTATTTGCCAGGCAAACCACGTCAAAAGTCCAGGGCACTTTCAGAAGGAAATCTCATGGCTTTCCTGTTCTAATTTATCTTGTTAGACACCTGTTCTCCTCCATGATTGTAGAAAAGTTCACCCAGGATTATCTGTGGCTCTCAGTCGCAACTCGACATCCCTGGAACCAGTTTACAAGAGTCCAGCGGCTCACCTGCTGCGTGACCCTCCTTCTCTGCAACATGGTCATCAATATTATGTTCTGGAAGATAAACGACACCACTGCCAAGAGAGATGTGCAAGGTGGGAGGGAGCTCTGATGTGTGCTGTTTGTGGCATGTAGTCCTTTTACTGTGCTCCACCCTCCCTACTTCCAGGGTGAGAAGCAGAATCACGATGTGCCTTCGTTTTTCCTTTGCTGCCCTGACATTCAAACACTCACTTAATTCTGCTATTAAATGCGGATGCTCATCTACTCTAACATTAGAATGCCCATCTTCTCACTGATCTCATTCACTAACAAAGGAAGCAGCCTTAGGGACACATCAGCATCTTTCCTGCCATGGTAACTTACTATCCTTAGATCATCATAGTTTAATCTCTAGATAAATCTTTAAACCTGGGAGAGGAATGAGCTGGAGGATGATCTGAATTGTTGTGGATGAGAGCTGACATCATGCTTTTCTTTCAGTGGGTCCCCTTGCCGTGACCTGGTCTGAACTGCTCATCAGTGTCCAAAGCGCCGTCATCCTTTTCCCCATCAATGTCGTGATTGGGCAGCTTTTCCCGTTGATTCAGTCACAGGAACCTCTGCCATTCTTTCCTCCCATCCAGGCCTCCTGCCCCTCAGGTGCTTCTTTTGAGCCTCTCCCTCTCACAGAGGTAGCTGAGGTAAGCTTGGTATCACATTTTACAGGTAAGTCATGCTCCCCTCCCCAACATAGTGGAAAAAACTGGTTGGAAGGATCTCCTGCAAGGCTCCCAAGGATCCTTTTCTCCAGTAGCTTCTCTCTAATTCCTGTCCTGAGACGTCATCATCACGCCTCTGGTTTTTTCTCGATTATGACGTGTTCTGAGGGCTGATGTGAGTGCAGACTGTACTGCTGTCGTGTTTTTGATGTTTGATCAGACTGTCCCTTCTTCTTTCATTCTAGATTCTCTCATAAAACTAGTTCTGGGGGCTACTGTGAGGTGACTTCTTTCTGAAAAAGTAGAGAGAAAGTGACAACTTGAGGGACTTTGCACTGAGCATATGTCCCTCCAAGTAGAGAAGCAGCCTTATTACCATGTATAATTGCTACCAGTCCGGATTTCAATGTAAAACTGACTTTTCTTATCTTGATTCTATATTCAGGAATTAAAGGAAACTGTGGGATTCCTGCTCAGGAGAAATACGTACCTACTCTCAGAGTGTGAACAGTCTTCATGGAGTTCTTACAACATTAACCAGCTGGTGAAACTTTTCTCCAGCCTCATTTGTTCTCACTTAGAGGGTCAAGGTTCTCACCAGCAGGCAGGACCCTACTGGGAAAATGGTAAAGTTCAGTTGGTTTCAGTAACTAACCTTTTTGTCTGCCTCCCACTTCTTGCACATCTGTTTGTTACTCATTCTTACCTCTCAGCATAACCAACAGGCATGATACCACCTTCTGCTTGTTTTAATCTCCTTTAGCTTCCCATGTAGAGCTGATAGCTTTGATCACTCTGATGGCTTTTGAGACAATAAATCTGGTCTCACAAAGTGAAAGATTAAGGAACCCCCCCCCAATGTCCTGTGTATCAGATCCCTATATTTCATCTGTTTTGTCAGGAGCTATTGAAACTTGTCATTCTTTTTCTTCAGTGGAATGGTGAGAGTATGCAATTTATGGATTCCTGAATATAGTCTGTGCTTTCTGGGTACTTACAGTTCACATGTATTGCAGTTCTGATGAAAAAGCTCAATTAGCTTTAAAATTTTTTTGATTCTACATCAAACTATAGAATTTTACAAATTCTTGCAAACTCTACAGCATGCTCAGAGAAGACAGCAGTTCTGTAGGTGTTGGGTCCAATCTCCATTGACTGGGATATTTAACCTCATCATCAGTTAATGAACTGCTCATTTCTACCAGTCATTACTATTTATTGACATCTTCCACTTGTTAAAGTGTCAACCTGAAATGTATTTTCAGCAGTTCCTGAAAACCACCATCATTTCTGCAATTACCTGCTCAGAGTTCTGCAGAAACTCCAATCTCACTTACGCACACTGGGCCCCACCCAGGCCGACCAGCCTTGTGACTTCCTAGATGCAGTCACCCAACTGCAAAAACTCCAGGAACTCTTGGAAACACATACACTTCCCACAGAGCGAGGGCCATGCAGGTAATGCATTGCACCAAGCTTTCGTTATCACCTGTAATCTTCCTAAACCTCTCTCAGCTGTTGGCTATGAGATTAATCCCTTCAACTTCTGTTCTTAAGGGAGGCAAACAGTTTCCCCATCCTGAACCCGGAAGAAGGGAAGCAATCCATCTCTAACAGCCCGCCCAGATGGTTGACTTACCTCTGCTGGCTCCTACTGGGTACCACTAGCCTGGCCGCTGCCTTTTTTACAGTACTTTATAGCCTGAAACTGAACAAAGACCAAGCCACCAGCTGGGTTATTTCGCTGATATTATCAGTGCTTCAGAACATCTTCATCATCCAGCCAGTAAAGGTACGTGAGAAACAGTCACAGTGGTATGGGAGGAAATGTTACAGTTGCACAAAGTTGGAAAACTGAGGTCTGTGGGTGTCGATCTAAAGTGCCTAATGGTTCTGACAATTTGAAAAAAAAAAAACACCTCGAAAAACAGAAATAGGCAGACTGAAAGTTGTTAGGAATATATGTGCAGTAATCATGGAGGAAACTAACAAGAACTGATAGACTAGTAGAAAGTTAGCAGAAAAGAATTGCTGAAAGTTAAAAGAGACAAGTAAAAAATCAACAATAAACTACTTTGAAAAAAAAACAGGAAACTTATTTTTTAAAATTTTTTAATTAAGGAAAATAAACACAAGTGTAGAGAATAGTATAATGAACCCTAAAGTTCTTTTACCCAGCTTCAGTCGACAATTCATAGCCAGTCTTGTCTCATCTATTTTGGAAAAAAAATACCAGACTTCATATCATTTTATCCATAAGTGTTTCAGTCTGTATATTTCTAAAAGGCAAAGACTCTTCTTTTTAAAACATAAATATCAGCCATTATCACACTTATATAAATTAACAATAATTTCTTAATATCCACACAACAATGTGAATGTAGGTAACACTTCTGAACTATTCACCTTAAAGAGGTTAAGATGGTAAATTTGTTATATATATTTTACTACAAGTTTTAAAAATCCAGTCAGTGTTGAAAATTTTCAGGTTCCCTCCTATGTGTTCATTTTACAGTTGTTTTGTTCAAATCAAGATCTAAATAAGGTCCATGTGTTTCAATGAGCTGATAAATTTCAAGTATTTTTAACACTAAATTTATAGGTTCCCCTCCCTTTCTCTCTTTCTCTCACTCTCTATTCTTGCTATTTTTCTTACAATGTACCTGTTGAAGAAACCAAGTTGTTTGTTCTGTAGTTTCCAACATTCTGAGTTTTGGTGGCAAGATGATTTCTGCTTTAAGAACTCTAATAAGATGGGCCTGAGTTCCTGCAAGCAGAGCTTTAAAAACTCTTGGTGCCCAGGCCTCTCTCCAGGCCAGTCAAATCATAATCCCTGGGGACGGGCTCCAAAGCCCAACAAGTCTAAAGCTTCCCAGGTGATTCCATTGTGCAGCACCATTTGAGACCCACTGATCCTAAAAGTGGGACAGAGTACAAGGAGTAGATAGTCCTTACACTTAAAAACAACTGCTGGCAGGGTGGGTGAGTCAAGCTCAGTGGTAGAGTGCATGCTTAGCATGCACGAGGTCCTGGGTTCAGTCCCCAGCACCTCCATGAAAACAGCAAAAAAGGAAAAACTGCTGGAAGAGACACGCCATAAAATAACATGAGTTCTTCAGGAGATTCAGTTATATCAGACACATAGACAGAGGCTTTCAGGAAATGAAAAACATGATTTACACATTTTAAACGTGATTTACAGATTTTAAAAAGTTGAACTGAAGATGTCATTATTGAGACTCAACTTAAGGACCAGGAAGATCAGACTAGAATAATGCAAAACATAAAACATAGATATAAAAATATTAAAAGCATCAAGAAAACAGACTTACACTGTAGGTCCAGGGTGCTTAACATGCAGTTAATAAGAGTGGTAGTAATTAAACAGTTGAAAAAAATTCTGTTGCAAAGAAATAATGAATTTATTGAAAGGCTTCAGCTAGTCCCAGGCATAATTAATTTAAAAAGATGCACAGTGAAATGGAGGATAGTACTTCTGGAATGGGGCCCAATATTTTGCACTCTTGACAAGTTCCCAGGTGATGCTGATGCTGCTGGTCCACGGACCACACTTTAAGTAGCATCACTCTGAATCACATCTAGTTTCTCTGAAAAGTCAGTGTCACGAAAGAAAAATTAATGGGGGAGGGCTGTCCTAGACCCTTTGACTAAATGAACCATTTTAAATATGGATCAGATAGTATACCAGGAAATTACCAATCATTTCCTTAAGTATGATAATGACATGAAAAATGTCCTGATTTTTAGGTGATGCATGCTTGAAAACAAGCAGTCCTTGCTTTGCAGTGTTTGATGTGCATGAATTTGTTATCATGGTTCAATTAACACCAGTTTCCCAGCAACACAGTTCAAATCCCAGTTACCATGGCATAGTAACTGAGTGATTGCATCAACTACCAACTGCTGCTAGCACTTCAGCCCATAATTCTCTACATAAATAGCAGATGCACATCATGCTCAGTGACCAATCATGTCACCTCTCAAAGTCTGAGTGATTGGCCACCTGTTCCTGGTTTATGTATAGATAGCAAAGTGGGTGGTTTTGTCATTTCCTTGTCTCCCAGTCATAAACTCTGCCATTTTACCATAAAATGGATGATTGAAAGAGGGAATTGGCCAACAAAGATGAAAATGCAACAAATTAACAAAACGATGACCCTGGAAGTGAAATTTAAATAGAGTGTAAATGGAGTTAGACAAGAAGCTGATCGTGGGAAGGTTGGTTGTCTGTGTTCAAGAAATTCTAGATATGCAGCCAAATGAACCTGGTAAAATGAAACTTAACAACGCAAATGGAGAGATTGGTTGTGAAGAAAAGGATGATGATGTCCCAGAGGAAGCGACATTGGCAAAAAACTAATATTAAAGGAACTGTCAGAGACATTTCACAGCATTGAAAGCATAAATGATAAAATGCTGGAAGCCAAAACTTAGAACCGTGTGACAATTCCCTGAAGGCTTAGAAAAGATGCTCTCCCCGTGTCGTAAGTTGTACAAGAGGAAGGCCAGAACCGTTCAAATTATTCTTGATAAAGTTTTTACAAAGAAATAACTTTAATTCTCAATGTTTTAATGTTTTAAATTATATATTAGCTTTACTACTTTTAAAATTTTCCGTATACGTTTATAACCGACAATAAGAGATTTTAATGTTTTGACATGAATCTTTGAATGTCACAGAACAATCATTTTTTTCCCACTGATGATTAAGATCACTTTGCCCAGTTTCAGCTGGCAAGGTCATTTTGATAAGCCCATACTACCATGCAAGGTGTGAAATGTCATGATGTCTGTTTTTTTCAAATGGTTCAGAAAAAAGCAAAACAAATGAAATGTTAACTTTGTTATCAGGTGAAATATTGATTTTGGTATCTTCCAATTTTCATGTATATTTCAAATTTTTAATGAACTATCAGAAATAATTCAATGGATCATATATTCAAATGTAAAATGTAAAACTATAAAACTTTTAGAAGAAAACTCAGGGGAAAAATCCTTGTAACCTTAGGTTAGGCAAGGAGTTCTCAGATACATTACCAAAAGCACAATCCAGAAAAGAGAAAAAATGATAAATTAGACTTCTTCAAAATTGAACACTTTTGCTCTATGAAGGACAGCCTTAAGAGAATGAAGACAAGCCACATCCTGAGAAAAAGATATTTGCAGATGGTAAATCTGACAGAGGACTTCTATTCATTATGTATATAAAGAATACCCAAAATTCAATAGTAAGAAAAGAACCCAAGTTTTTATATGGGCAAAGGACGTAAAGAGGTATGTCATCGAAGAGGATACACAGAGGGGAAATAAGCATGTGAAAAGATGCTTAACATCACACTCATTAGGGAAATGCAAAATAAAACCACAGTGAGATGCCACTGCACACCTACTAGAATGACCAAAATATTGATAATACCCAATGCCGGTGAGGATGCAGAGAAGCTGGGGATTCTCACACGTGGGTGGTAGAAATGTAAAAGTGGTGTAGCCACTTTGGGAAACAGTTTACCAGTTTCTTACACAGTTACAGAGTACTTTTACCATATAACTTAGTAACCCCACTCCCAGGTATCTACCCAAAAGAAATAAACACATGTTCACACAAAATTATGTGAATATTTCCATCAGCTTTATTCAGAATTGCCAAAGCTGGAAACAACCCAAATGCCAATCAACTAGTGAGTGGGTAAACCATGGTCCATCCATGCAGGAGAAGTCTACTCAGCAATAAAAAAGGAAAACTACTGGTATATGTAATGACATGGATGACTTTCACATGTATCATCGTAACTAAAGAAGCCAGTTCCAAAAGCATACTTTATGATTGCATTTATATGACTTTCTGGAAAAAGCAAAAACCATACGGCTGAAGTACACATCACTGGTTGCCAAAGACTCAGGTAGGAGAAAGGGTTGACTACAGAGGAGCAGCACGAGGAGGGTATTTTGACTGATGAAACTGTAAGGTATCTTGATTGTAGTGCTAGATACATAATTCTATGCATTTGTCAAAACTCATAGAATTACACCCCAAAAGAGTTTTTTTCTACTGTGTGTAAATATATTTTTAAAAGCAAAAAAAAAAACAACTTTGTTATCACAGTGGCCAAAAAACTTGTAACAAGTTCCTGTAAACAATAAGATTCCATTTTGCTTTTAAAAATGGCAAAGAAAAAGGGTAATATGGCTGGTTGAGGAAAACCTGGCAGTATACAGTAAAAGCCTTCAAATTCTGCATCCCTTTGCTAAGTAAGTTTCCCTTCTAAGGATCTCTCCTGAGAAGACTCAGAGTGGTTTATAATAAAATACATTGGCAACAACTTAAATGTCCAAAAATAGGACGTTGCTTAATATATTACAACATAGCCATATCCATGTAATGGGATACCGAGAAGCCATTAAAAATGTTATAGAAAATGTAATGATGTGGAAAGCTGGTCCCGGTATATTAAGGCAAAAATGATCAAAGGATATATTCCAAATTTTAAAGCCTTCTTAAAATCCCTATTTTTTCCTTGTTTCCAAATTTTTATAATAAATGTATAGTCAGGGTTGTTTTTTATAAGTTGGGAAAAGTATTAAAAGAGGAACAGAAGAGACATAAACCAGTGTATTAGCTTAGTTACTGATATCCCTCCAGTGGAGAATTTGGTTGGGCCCGTGGCCAAGTATACTTCCTAGTACTTTCCCCCCGGGTCTAGTCCTTGGGACAGGCCACCAGAGGACGACTCCAGGTCTGCAGAGCAGACACGTTCATCTCAAAAAGGTGGTGTGGCACCAGGCTGGAAATATTACCCTTGTCCTTTGTTCTTGTGAGGACTGGAGGACCTTCCTCCCCTCCAAGGAAATTTAAGGACTGGGGGAAGACTTGTTTCCCTTAAGAGAAACTTACGGTTTTAACTCAATTCTAAGATTCTATGCCTTCAGCAAAAGTGAGATTAGTCTTTGGGACTTTCAAAAGTGTAGCTTCTGCAGTCTAGCTGTTCAGAGCTGTTGTAAAGACAGGTGTTATGGAACAACTTACACAAATCATTTAATAGTTTAAACTTCCCTAGCCAAGTAGATTAAGGACTCCAGTGTTTACAAAAAATATGAAGATTAACATATTAACCAGGTTCCCATGGTTATGCAAAAATAATTATGAAGTTAAGTAATTTCCCAGTTTTTCATAAAAACAAAGGGCCCAGTAATTGAAATGTGTTCATTATACATACCTGCACCTTTACCTAATGGATCCTGGAGTGTCTGCTCATTAGTGTCCCTGTGACGTTCCTGTCTAGGTGATCTTCCTCACGTTGTTTTTCTCACTGATGCTGAACAGGATGCCGTGGCTTCGCAAAGAGAAGGGACAACAAACCAAGAGGATCTTGGCACTCTTGGGTAATTCAAGTGGTTCTAACTAATATTGCATTTTGCAAAGAGCAAATTATATCAAAACAGTGGAATCCTAGCCACCTCACCAACTCAGATTTATCCATTCAAGGGTCTTGTCTCTAAGCAGTGGCTGTGCCTCCTCCTCTGCCCAGGACTAACCAGTAGGTCACCACAACTGTTCATGACCCATTCCTCTCTGGATCTCTCAGAGATTCTACTCTCCCCCGTGTTCTAGATTCCTTCTAGTGTTTCTAGCTCTGAGCCCCAGATGCTATTTCCAACTGCACCGTCTGTATCTGAATGCCTGCAGGTGTCTGAGGGTAAACATGCCTCAAGCCAAGTTATTTGCCACCCTAAAAATGCACTTCTTTACTATTTTCTTATTTCATTTAAGAGCATCACCATTCTCAGAGTGACCCTAAATCTTTCCTGTCCCCCATTCAGCCACCAAGCCTGAGGCAGTCTACCCTCTAAACTGCCTAGAGTAACTCACATCACATGGGTGAACCTCCCAAACAAAGGTGGCCAAGAAGCACACTGCAGAAAATTGCACAATATTTTAATCATGCAAAACAATACATGTCTTGCTTAGAGACATATTTTTTTAAGTGAAGAAATGCATGGGAATGATAATCCTCTGAAATTTTGGAGTTCAGCTCTCTGAAGGAAGGAAGGGATACGATCACAGAGGTACACAGCGGATTGTATCTCAGCAGTCACTTATTTCTTAAGCTGAGCAATGGACACGCTGCTAAGGGGTTGGCATCTTACTCCTCATGAAATTTAAAACATTAATAATGTGACCTCAGAATGCCTTCCTAGTCCTCATTTCATTTCTACATGCTTTTGAATTGCTGTTCCCTTTGCTAAAATGACTTTTTTCTTGTCCTCTCCCTTGCCCATTTAGAGAATTCTTTTTGACTCATCCTTCAAAACAAATGTCACATGTCACTTCCTCAGGGTCACCTTCTCTTAATTCCTCGGGGAGGTTCATTTTTTCTTCAGCAATCCCTCAGCACTTGGTTCATACAGGCTGGCAAGTTTTATGTCATATTCTACCTCCCCCTCTCTCTCCACCTTGATTTACATGTCTCTGGATTCTTGTCCTCACAGTGTGATCTGGAGACCAGCAGCACTGGTGTCTCCTGGAACTGTCAGAAATGCAGAATCTTAGGCCTTGCACCAGAAACTGCATTGTAACAAAATTCCGGGTGACTCCCCCGCATGTTAAAATTTGAGAAATAACACTCTGAAACAGTGTTCCCACCAATTAGTCCACTGACTAGAACTGTTTCTAGTCCAACGTAAGTACAGAAATTGAGAATAAGCATTTAGATACGTTTATAGCAATTGGACAGACTAATTTTACTCCTATTGAATCTAATTTTTTAAATGGGGCTTGTATTTTATAGGCCTCTGTTCTATTTCATTTTTCTAGTAATTCGTTTTTATTGTATTTTACAAAAGTATCAGTCCCTGATGGATTGGATTTTTTTTTTAAAGTCCTTCGTGATAGTTTGAGAAGCACTGCTTAGATAGCTTTATTTTCTATTTCAGTGTTTAACAGGAGAAACTCATAGTGGGTGTTCAGCAAATGTTGATGAATAACTACTTAATGAAATGTAACCTTTTTTGGCCTATATTTGAATTTTTGACAGCAAAATGTCCTTCATCATTACCTGGCTCAAGAGATAAGAACAACCCCATCTATGTAGCCCCAGCTATGAACAGGCCAGTTAAGTGCCCGGAGAGAGCCTTGAAAGAGAAGAAACTCTTGAAGTTGACAGGAGATATTTTGGGTATGGAGAGGAAATGGTAACATGTTGATATGGCAGCACATTTCCCAGCCAGGAAAGGGGGAGAGAGAATAAAATGGAAAATACAGAAGGGTGAAAATATTTTAAATCTTAAAATATTTGCCTTGAAAATTTCTGGATTCCATTAAGCAAGATTGTAAGGTGAAAGGTAAAACGGAAAGGCTCCTGAACTAGGAGTCTTGAGATCTCATTGTGTGCTTGAATAAGTCACTTTCTCTACCTGCACAGTGTAATAATGAAACTTGATCTACATCACAGGGTGGAGGAATGAATATAATTTGGAAAATGGTTGTCCTAAAAATGCAAGGGGACTGGTTCAGCACATCTAGTGTCTGGGTTATTGGAGTCCCTGGACCAAGGAAGACAGATGCTGTTTTTATCATGCGTTCCCTTCTTGTGAGCATAGACAACCTATAGACAGCTGGGGAGGGGCGGAGGAGGGCGCGGTGGGAGCGGCTTGGTGCAACATTTAGATCTAAGAACTAAAACACAACATTTTTTGTGTGGGATTTTATGTCTCTTATTTTAGTAAAATTTCTGATTAGCAGCAGAATAATTCTGGGAAGGAATACATAGATATCTATGGATATTTATCACTAACAGCCAAATGCCTTGGCTTATCTATTCACAATTATTAAGCTGAACCATATGAAATTGCCAATTGTTTACTGTTCTTGCCCTGTTTTAAAAAAGTAAGTCTATAAGCTTAGAAAAAAATGAAGAAAATTGTACAGAGGCTTTCTAAGCTAACCGTTCCACTGTGGTTTTCTCTCTTCTGTGCCAGTACAAATCCTTTTCCTTATCCTGTTGATGACTACAGTCTACTCTACCCAAAGCTCCAACAGGTTTTACCTCCATCAGGCTATCCAGAAGAGCTTTTCTCACGGTTTCTCAGAGATCAAACTGCTTAAGCATTTCTATACCTGGGCCAATCGCATTCTCCTTCCTAACCTGTATGGGGATTACAGAGGTAAGAACACAGTCCTGGGGTCCAGCCCTGCAAATGTGGGGTGCAGTTGGTTTTCCAGACACCCCTACAGGGACCCACTAGCACCCTGGAGGAAGGTCCACTGGCTTTTTCACTGTGGCTGCACCCCTGTGGGCACCCAAGGGTCCACTCCCAGGGCCCCGTCTAAGCAAATCCAGCTTTATGTCTGACCCCCCAAGGGCGATCAGGGTCATGAGGGCTGATTCCCACTGATGAGCCTCACAAGAGGCTGATAAACAAAACTGAGAATTTATTCACTTACAGCATGGAAAGTAACTGGAGTGATCCCTGGGGCCAGTTGCCTCCTGGTGAAGGAGGGAACCACATGTAGCTGAGAAGGTTGTTACATAAGCTCAGAACCACGAAAACAGTGGAACCAGGAAGATGTCTGCACCAGGTGATATGATATATTGTCTGATGTGCAGTCTTTCCCGAATCTGTATCACTTTCCTTCTGTGGTTACCCAGTTCAGTTCCACAGATATGTAGTGAACATCTAGCAGGCTGGGAAGTGTTCTGGAAGCTAACGATAAAAAGATGGTATAATATGGTTTGTAGCCTCAAAGAACCTCACCGTCAAGAAGAGTTAGTATGAATGCTTCTTGTTCAGTATTCTTGACCCATTTCCAACACTTCATCATATTATAACTCCTGAGAAAACAGAAATTAAAACTAAACTCAGGAACCACTTTCCACCTCTCCTATGGTGGAACACACTTGCTTCTGTTCTTGCTCTTCTTCATTCCGTCTTCCCCGTATTACTTTTTACAACAGAAATATTTTACTTCCCTGTTTGAAACCTCCCAATGGATTCCATCACACTTAAAAGTCCAAACCCTTTCTAAAGCTTACTAAGGTCCTCCCTGCACGGCCCGTGGCTACGTCTGTTACTTCAGTTCCTGCCCTCATCCTGACCCTCATTCACTCCGCTTCAGCCACACAAGCCTCTGCGCTCTCCCACAGCACGCCGAGCGTGCATTCCCCCCACCCCCAGGCCTTGGAACTTGCTGTGGCCCTGACTGCTGTCTGCATTGGGTGCTCCAGACTTTATCAGGTCTCTTTCATGAGCCACCTCCTCAGAGAAATTGATCATCCTGGTAAACAAACAGCACTGCTCCCTCCCTACAGAACACTGCCTTTCTCCTCATCCTACTTCATTTTTCTTTGTAGCACTATTATTACTGTTATTACCCGAATATGTTGTTTGGTTATTGTCCATCTCTCCCCCTCCTCAAGTGAGAGTGCTCTGACGACAGGGCTCTTTCATCCACTGCTGTGTTCCCAGCACCTGAACAGGACCTGATGTTGCTGAGCACTGAACGCATAGTGACTGAGGGAAAGAATGACTGTCACTCTATCATTGCCCATTTTTCATTGGACAGCTTGGTCTTGTGTGCTTGTTTTGAAAAATGGGAGCTTTTTATACATTAAGAGCTTTAGATATCTATACAGAGACAAACTAAGAATTTATAAAAATAAATTTAGGGAATTGATGGCTTATGATGTTCTTGTCCTATCTGGGAGTGTGGTATGCTTTTCTCAACTTCAAACGTATCCCTCGATAATATTAAATTGCTCTTCATATAATTCTTGTGCATCTCTTGTTGGGTTTATTTTACCTTTGTGTTCTATTGTAAATGAGATTTTATTTTACTGTACTTTAAAGTAAATATTGTTTGGCTACATGAAGGTTATTGATTTTATTATTTT